ATCTGTTTCAGATGAAGAAAAACCATGGAGATAAAGAATTCCCAATGTTTCAAAGAACTGAGATGTTCCTATAGGTAGAGAGATAACCAGGGAAGGACACATCCAAACTAGCAAGCAGAAGAATGATTTTCCTTATCAAAAGTAAATCTGCCATAACTTCTACCTTTTCCTAGCCATTTTTCCTTCAAGATCTTTGGATTATTCTCTTTAGATGAGAAAATAACCTTCCATGTGTCTTTCAACAGGTACTTTCATCAAAATGTTCTGGATGGATCCAGTCCCGCAAGATCTCCCATTTTCCTCTGGTGTCACCCACCTTCCTGAGCGGAGAAGGTCCCCTCCGGACAAGGAACGCAGTTGTAGCAGCAAACTGGCTCTCCTTCCCGAGCCCTCTTGACAAACCCAGGAGGACAACTTTCCACACATCTGGACTGAGGCCGAGACTGAGCAGAAAAAGAAGGAAGGCCAAAGAAAGTGGGTTAGAGCTAGGAATCCATGGGAACTGGAGCCAAGTAGCCTCTGGTCTTTACTGAGGTAAATATTAAATCTCTGCCTACTTGACTATGACCCCAATTGATCCCAGATTTTATGTTGCAAAGTGAGGCATTTGTTCAGGGAATTTTGTCCCATTTTATGACCTTTCTTGGTCATAATTATTAAGTGAATCACTGCTTTTGTTAGTAGCACCTTTGCTAAGTGAATCTGGCTTCCCCATTCTTTGTCAGAAGGTCGCAAAAGGGGATCACACAACCACCACCCTGGGACACTGCAACCGTCATAAATATGAACCAATTGCCAAGCATCTGGATTTTGATCACATGTCCGTGGGGATGCTACAACTGTTAAGTCCGCCGATCGGAAAGGAAGACGGAAGGCTTAGTGATTTTCAGCTCTTTATTCATTCCGAGATCAGCTCGCTCGGCTAGGGTATGTGGCGGCTTATATTGAACTTGCCGGCCAAGCCGCGGCCAATGACACCGCTTCGAATCTCTCGCGATCGGTTTCCTCCAATCGTGGGGGATTCGCAGCGGGCCAATCAGTGCAGCTTGCTCGACCAATCGGGTCACCGCGCGTCCTAGCCAATCAGAACGGTTATTTACAAGAATGCTAATGTACAATACAGAACACCCCTTCCCTCTTGGTATGGTCCTACGTGACGTAGTCCCGTAAGTAGGCGGGGCTCCGTACTTGTCTACTGGACCTGCGCAGGTTAGTTGTTGTCTGGTCTTCGAGCGGTTCGGTCGGGTTCTGTGTTGCTCCTTGCCTCATCGATGGAACCGCCTGGAAGGGTGAGCCGGGCCTTTTGCCGTAGCTCCCTCCCGGTCTACTCGGGTTGGTCGAGCTGTTGGCTTTGTTGCTCCCACCCGGTCTTTCCGGGCTGGTTGAGCTGGCTTGGCTGTTTCTTCCCGGCGAGGCTTCAAGTTGTTCGGCTGCTCCTGTTTCGGTTGGTGAGTATTCTTGGTTTCTTTCTTGTTGGGGTTGTCTGTCTTTATTTCTGGGGTTTTCCCTCCCCTCTTGGCTGGTGTTGGGGTTTCCCCTTCCCCCTGTGGTTTCTTTTTCCGTGTATCAGCCTCAAGATATCTTCCATAATAAGTATATTCCGCATTCTAACTGTTGCTTCTCTGCTGCTATGCCAATCTATTTCTTTCGGCTGTCATAGCAACAGTGGGAGGGGGGAATTTGGGGGGGAAGAAGGCTGGAGGTGTTTTGCATTCCTTTGCTGGGTTAGCAAGGGAGGGGGGATTCCTTTCTTTAACTTTCCATTTCTTGGCTAGCTTCTGTCCCCTTTTGCGCAACTGCGAACTTTTATCAAAATATGTCAAGGTCAACTGACAGAAGCCTCATCACCACCTGGAGATGGCCACATGACCATATTCAGAACTTTTAATTGGAAGAATCATTTGGACTTTGGGGGGTGGGAGCATTTCCATTCCTTTGTATATGTGATCTGCCCGCCAATTCCTCAGATTCGGAATTAAATCTGTAGCTTTCACTTTATTTTCCAGTAAAAGGATAACTTTGCTCTAACCCATGGAGTCTGAGTGTTTCTTTCTTGGGATCTAAAGGGAGCATAGACTGACATTATTCCAAATCTGCCACATCAACCCACCCGGAGAAAATATCAACTTTTCTTCCGAGGGGGTTTCATCTCATGTCGTCTCCAGCCAGCGATGAAGATGACCAGGGAGCTGCTGGAGGGCAGTCAATGCTGCTACCAGAGATGCCGGCTGCTGACCTGCTGGCCGACCTGACTCTGGAAGAAACCCCAGCTGAGATACCCAGATGGTCGTTGGGGGTTGGTTGGAGAGACCCTGAAGACCCCCTTCCTCCTGGGATTACTGTAAAACGAAGAGGTGCAAGGGAACGGCTGTGTCAAGAGGGGGAGGAGATGGAATGCAGGCTGGATCAAGCCGGGAAATTTCTTATGGACGTTTCTGAGAAGCCCGGCACGGCTCCAAGGGAGCGAGGTCAGCCCGGGGAAGTCGAGCTACCCCCACCCCCCTAGCCCAGCCTACGCCAGCGCAGCCGCCCGCCGCCGCCCGGGGAGCCCCAGCAATAGGTGTGGTTCCTGGAAGACGCCATCTGCCCCCGTTAGATGTGAAGTTTGGAGGAAATCCCAGAGATTTGGGGTTTTTCCTGGTACAAGTCGGGAGCTATATGGCAGAATTTGAAAGGGAGTTCACTTCTGAAGCAGCCAAGGTGAGATGTGTTACCGGAACCCTGGAAGGGATGGCAGCAGACTGGGTGGTAACTTTGTACAATGGTAACTCCCCCCAACTGCGGAGCATCGATGTTTTCATGACTGCATTGAGGAGAAGGTTTGAGGACCCTCTGGCGGAGAGAAGGGCCAGGATCAGAATGAAGACCCTAATTCAAGGGGGGAGATCGGTTGCTGACTACACCCAAGAATTCAGACAGCTGGCATACCACATCTGAGGCTGGTCCCAGGGGGCCCTGGTAGAAGCCTACAAAGATGGCTTAAATGAAGATGTATACCACACGTGCATCTCCAGAAGGGACCCACATGATTTGCAGTCGTGGTACTTGCTGGCGGAAGAGGTGGACATAGATCTAACCCGAAGCAGATGCAGAGGGGGCCCCGCCTGGAGAAAACAGCTCCCCCCACGTCTCCGAGAGATCTCCAACCCCCGAAAAGGAGGGGTGACGGCAGGAGCCAAATCCACGGCCTGTTTCCATTGTGGGAAGGAGGGCCACCGGATCGCGGATTGCCGGGCCAAGCCGGATCCACAGAGAGCGTGGGGCCCAGGGAGGAAGCCTGAAAACCCCCCAACCAAGCCTCGTGAAACCGGGCTGAAGATAAGAGAGGTTGTAAAGGTCGCCCCTCCGGCGGGAGAGGAGCTGGGACCTCCGACCCCACTCGACGAGAGCGAAACCGACTCGGAAGATGACGTCCCAGTAAGTCCTAACCAAGGGCCCATGCCCATCACCAACCTCCTGAAGACAAAAGGGGAAGCGAAACCAAAGCCCAGCCAACCGCTGAATTGGACCATGGAGTGCCAAGCTGCATTTGAAAAGCTTAAAAGACTTTTTGCTGCAGAACCAGTACTGAAACACCCAGACATGGACGCCCCTTTCGTGATCCAAGTTGATGCGAGCGATGTGGCGGTGGGGGCGGTCTTACTTCAACTAAATGAGAAGGGGACATTACAACCGTGCGCTTACACCTCCCGTAAATTGACTGACACTGAAAGGAGATGGGCCGTTTGGGAGAAGGAAGCGTTTGCAGTCCGTTAGGCCTTACTAGCTTGGAGGCA